CATTTTTATTCGTGTTACGATCTTCTGTACCATTTATATATCAGCATAATTTCGTTTTGTCATTTTATGTTTGTCTATTACACTACTAATTTAATAGTTTACATCTCACAAATCTTAAATCATCATTTTCTTAAAATAGTAAAAACAAATTAGCGGTATATCAATTTCTCATTAACGAGAAATGATTTTTATTTGGGTGTATAACACTTGGGTATATTCTGCTATTCTTTGTAAAAAAAACACTGGGGCATATAGGGGTTGATTGGTAGAGCATTAGCATAAGCATTATGCTCTTTATTATCCAATCAATATTTGGCAAAGAAGCATTTAGAAAAGCATTTACCAAATGCAAATGCTCTCCAAATGCTCTTTGCTCAATGCTCTCATATAGAGCTTTTGGGAGAGCATTTGCATATAGAAAATATAAAATTTAATAATATTTATATATAATTAATTTATTTTTGTTTAAAAATATAAACAATATTTTTATAATTAAATATAAATTTATATTTTAAAAAATAAAAGTAAAAATTATAATTAATTATTTTTAAAAGAACAATATTTCACATTTAAAATATAATATAATTTATATAATTACATATATCATTCATTATTTTTAATAACAAACATAACATAGTATAATTTATAAATTATTGATATAAACATATTATTTAGACACTAATAAATAAATTATATATATTAACTTTTATGATAATTTTAATATATGAGTAATTTAGTGCTCTGCCAATAAATAAATAATAATAATTTATATAAAAATTATAATTAATTTATTTATTTATTTAATAATAATTATAATTTAATAATAATTAATTAAATTATAACTATAATTTTATATATGAGGAATATGTTATATCCAAAAAAAATTAATATTTTTTAAAAAAAATTAATTTTTAAATATAATTTACATAATGAAAATTAATTATTTTTAATAAAATTATATATTATTAATATATATTATATATGTATTATTTTAAAAGAAATATATTATTTTACTAACTATTATGACAATTTTAAAATTGTATACTGCTAATGCTCTACCAATCACTTTATTGAAAAATTTAATGAAAGCATACAGCTTCTGTAGCATACTGCTTCTGCAGCATACTGCTACTGCTTTATCATCTGCTGTACCAATCGAGGCCTAAGACTTCGGCATATAATAAGACTTGACTAACACAAAAAGAAAAGACTTTTGGAACTTCTTGCTTGTGTGACGTGATCTCATTTGTACAATGGTTTGTTAAGTTATTTATGATTATCTAATCGGATATGGTTCAGACATGTCAACATCGAATACTGCATTTTAATATGTTAGGGGTGTTGATGTTCTATATATATGGTAATTTTAAAATCATGATAAAAATTCGGTCAGTATATTATATTAATTCGATCACGTAATGATCAGATGATAGAGTATTCCTAAAGATGGTCATACAAAATTTAAATCAAAATTATGCAAATGGCATTTTCGTATCAACCATAATCCCACTATATATTAAATGAGAAGTCACTTTATTGATTTTTGCTTAGGTGTTATTCATAGGTGCATTTTATAATTAATTATCTTAATTTGATTGGTTGTTTGTATATGAATTTTCATTTATTTAAATCAAGTTTTTAAAAGGAAACTAATCATAGAGTTATCTAATATAATATTTGTTACCAAATAAACAATCAAACATCTTAAATTTAAATAAATTAATATAACTTTTTTGTTAAAACAATTGATTATTATAGATTACGTTATATAAATTTATAATATAAATATAAATACATATGATACTACATAAACAATTATATAAACGGTGTTAAAAATATTATATTTATAGTGTATACAATAAATGATAGATTACAGAAAACTAATAATATTTTTACTCACTATATACATATATTATAAAAATGTGTCAAATGAATGCAAACAATCAAATATATATTTCAAAAAAAATCCAATCATTGTAATCGACAAGTGATATTATAGTTGAGTTATTATTTTTATAAATGATTAGAGTATTTTTTATATTTAAAAGATCATATTCTCATCCTACTATATATTAAATGAGAAGTCACTTAGCGGCTCCATAACCGAATAGCAAATAGATTGTCTAAGACGGTTAGAGCTTTCTATAAAAAAATTGTATTATTGGTTGTTATATTCCGGTCTGAATTCTTCGACCATCTCAAGTTTTAGTATTTGAATAATATTTTGATGTAAAAAGAAAAAGAAAACATCAAAGTTCTAAGTGTATAATTCTGGTCACCAAAATTTTATAATACAAATATCTCTCTCTTTTGATATATCAATTAAAAGTAATAAAGGCAATGGTCACACATACAAAAAATGTGTTTATTCTCTTATGCTAAAGACTTAAAGATCATTTAAATAAACATGGCGTATCAAAGTTAAGATCATTCACTTGTGGATGAACTTTAATAAAAAAACCGGAAAAATCATTAAAATGATTTCCTCGATAAAGAAGTAGATAATTATTATTACTAATTCAAATTTTAAATGGAAAAGTCATTTTTACTAAGATTTGTTTTTTTCTTAAATATATTTTGAATTGTAATGTTCTTCATAGCTGCTAATTCTACTAAATATTTGCATGGTACTTTATTTTATTTTTTAACTGATCCACAGAAACTTTTGAATGTTCAAACATGTGATAAGAATTCATACTTCAATTGAATCAAATCTGATCAAAAATATGAAGACTGATCTAGACAACAGTCATGCATGGTCGTAATGTTATTGATATGATACTTAAGAAGTTGATTTTGTAATTTAATATTTTGATTCAAATTAAAAGTTATTTTTCATTTTATCAGATTATAGAAAACAAATTTTACTTTTTTCCTTGACAAATATGTGTGCTAATATTTAGTTATTTAATAATATAATGATATTATTACTATTTTTCCTATTTTATTTCTGAAAGTTGTTATAATTATTAACTTAATATGTTTATTAATTTTTTAAAATATTTTAAAAAAATAAAAGAAAAAAGTCTATTTTAAAACTGAAATATTGTTCTTTTTTTTATTAAAGTTGGTATTTAATCTTATTAAGTAAAATTAACAAAATCTTATAAAAGATAAATATATTTATGGGTTTTTGGTGTAAATTGAAAGAACCGAAAACTGACGGTATATATATCAAACCCCAACAAAGTCTACATGATTTTAATATGGTAGTTTGTTTTATAAACTAAAATATCAAAAAATCAAAAAACCAAACCGAACCAAAATCCAGATTGAACACCCTTACTACTACATCATCTTTTTATTCCCACACAAGGTGCGGGTGAGTCACCTAGTCATATAATTAATTAAAGACCTTTTCTCTGAAGGTTAAAAAAACGAGTTGGTCTTTCTTTTACTGTTGATTTCAGATGAAACCATGTTAAACATTTCCATTGAGTGAGTTTTATCTTAAATATATAATCTGAATATAAATTGTGAAACACTCATTTAATAGTATCTCATTGAGTGAGTTTTATCTTTAAATTGTGAGTTTTATCTATAAATTGTGAAACAATCATTTAAACATTTCCTATAAATTGTGAAACACTCATTTAAACATTTCCATTGAGTGAGTTTTATCTTTAAATTGTGAAACACTCATTTAATAGTATCTCATTTAAAAACTTTTAGTATACACATTTCAACATTTGATATACTTATTCAGTTAACTTATTATCTTTATTTTTTATTAGATATTATTCTAAATTAAGAGTCCATGCAATAAAAATGCTCTTAGTTCTTTTTCTGGAACTTTAAAATACTCTTAGTTTCTCCTCTATTCTTTTGATATTATTATCGATTCCTACTAGGACTGTATATTTGTTAGTGTTTCTTTTTTTGATAATCATGGTATGATCCTAAAGGTTTTTTATGCCTAAAGACTAATCACCATGAGACCCACAGAAATTCAGATTTTTTTGCCACTTAAGACGTCTATGGGTGGTCAAAGAGAATCAAACCCAAAACAGAAACTCCAGCTGAACCCGTTTACCATTACGCCAAGACCACTTGGTTTAGTGTTTTTTTGTTTCTCATTTTTTTTGTATGCCTACAATCTTCTGTAACTAAAGTTCTAATTTCTGATTTTTTTTTTTTCATATTGTAATCGTCACTTGCATTTAGCAAAAAAAAAAAATGGTTAAATAGAGAAAAACACATTATACGAACTAAAAATGTAAAGTTGTTTTTCATAGAAGTGCTTGACACCTCCTCCCCAAAAGTTGGAGATGGATGAATCATTTTTATTAAACTATATGACGGAATCACCTCCCCAACTTCACATATTTGGAGATAGATATACCAACTTTACACTAACCATATATTCACGGTGAAAGTTTATAAGTTTATGAATGAAAATGTAACACTCTGGCCGCCACAACTAATGGGCTATCCATGTCTGTGGGTTTCATCTCGTTTCAGCAGCGAATTCGTTAATTTTTTAAGTTTTTAGAGTTATGTTTACTGATCATGCAGCATCACATGATTTTTTTCCATGTTTTGGCCTCGCTTACACGATATCGAAAATCATTTTCTAATAAATCACCTATCTTTTGACTACTTGAATTCAAACATGCTTAATTTTAAAATTCTTTCTAAATGGTTACGGAAAAAAGAAGTGCACTTTACTAATAGGTAACAAAATTAAATTTTTAAAAAAATATTTTCATATATCAAAATTTGGGATATTACATAAAAATGATAAAATGCAAAAACAAGAAACTGAAGATTCTTTTCCATAATTATTACAGTATATTTTATACAGAGAAGACTTTTTAGTTTGGGGAATCAAATTATTATATGTATGATCCGGTCGTTAATTTCAAAGCAATTACCGTTCTGTTTCCTAAACCCAAAAAAAAAAAAAAAAAAAAGTACATGTGGATGCTTACGACTCTTGCTTCCTCTTCCCGTTTATCTCTTGATATAAATAGCCTCGTTGAGATGACACATCCATAAACGCACTTTCATCTATCTCTCCCTACATCAAAGTCTTTTGGATCATACATAAAAATCCAATGTCGTCGTCCAACTTCAACCTCAATTACACTGTACTTCTTCAATCTCTCCTTCTCTGTTTTAGTATCCACTCTGCTTTTGACTGCTCTCTGTTGTTTAAGTGTTTAGTTTCGTCTTCAATTTCGGATTTTTATAGCAAATTTGTACAAAAGACTCTTTTTTTATGTTCCTGGTTATGTTTGCTATCTTCAAAGCTTATGTTTATTTTTCAATCATTGAACTTTCTGGACAGGATTGTGTTGGAAATGGAGAAGCAAACACTTCTCAATCAAACCCAGAAACTGGTCTGAATGATTTGTCTCCACTTACTCAGTCAGAGAGAGCTGTTGAGGAGTTTCTTATCCAACAAACTCCTATTCAGGCATCAGATGATCATCTCATTGAGTTCTCTGAGACTTTGAGAAGTAAGTAAAGCTTTTGGATAATGTTAAAGCTTTCATGCTTTGTGTGTGTTTTCTTACTTTTTTATTTATTTATTTGTAGCTGTTGCAAAGGCTCTAAGAGGAACTGCTGAAGGAAAGGCAAGGGCTAAAGCTGAGGCTGCTGAGTGGAAAAGAAAATATGAGTTGGAGAAGTCTAAGAACCTTGACTTGCTGCTACTTCAAGGTTTTTTTTTCTTCTAAACCACTTAGTTTTTTAGTAGCAATGGATGACTTGTTTGAATAAACATTATGTTTTCTTGCTTGTATCATCATCACAGCACCATCTAGTAGCAATGGGATGGATCATCATTCAGCCAAGTCTCCGAGGAGGCTTCTCGTTCCGGAAAATGGGAAATTACCAAGGGAGCGTATTTGCTCTCATGAACTGCTCCAAGATTGTGAACCTAACAGTCCTAATGGCTGTTACAACAAATTGAAGCGAACGGTAGGACAACAGTTTTTTTTTTGTTGCATTCAAAACTATCTTTCCCTCTTGTGTAGTGTTGTATAACATTATTAACGTTGATTGATGCAGGCATCGTTTAAGCTTTCATGGGAATGCATGGGGCAGGCTAATGATCAACACAAGAAAGAGATTGTCTCGTTTGAGAATGGGAATATCACTACAGCTAACCGCAGTAGCAAACAGGTACGGACTATTAATGTTTTTATTTGTTCTCAAGTAGATGCACAGTTGTAGAACTATAATTGTTATTTATTTCATTCAGATTTCACTGACATGGGAGACCAATCCACAATGTGTTCTTATTTTCACCAAACCTAATTCAACTTCTGTACAAGCTCTCTCTGTGGAAATGGTCAGGTCTGTGTTTGTACTTCAGAAAAGATATCCTCAAAAGATTTTATTTTACCCAAAACCATAGGCTTAATGTTTGCTTAAGATGGAAGTATTAACATATTTTTGATATTCAGATGGTTGAGAGAGCAGAAAGGACTAAATATTTATGTGGAACCAAGAGTGAAAGCAGATCTTTTATTGGTGTCAAGTTCTTTCGACTTTCTACAAATTTGGGATGATGGTATGATCATGATATTATTTAAAAAAAAAGAAGCTTATTGACATGTATATGAAAGCCTCAATTGATAATTTGTTTATGCAGACAAAGAAATTTCACTTCTACACCCGAAAATTGACCTTGTTATAACTCTTGGTGGGGATGGCACCGTTCTATGGGTAAAATTCAATCTCACTCTCAAGTTTATAACTCTTCTTTTGTATAATAAGTAGTAACTCATAGGATATAATATAACATGGAACATCTTTGATTATTACAGGCAGCTTCGAGGTTTAAAGGACCAGTGCCTCCAATTGTTCCATTTTCTATGGGATCTCTAGGATTCATGACTCGTTTCCGTATCCTTTTTAAGCAGTTTCTTTATTAAGCCTCAGTTATTGCACCATGTCTGTCACTAGAAACTTTTTTCTTTAACTCTTATGATTCCAGACAGTGAACAATACCAAGAACGTCTTGAAAAGGTTTTGAAGGGTCCAATCAGTATAACACTACGCCACAGGTTGCAGTGTCACATCAAAGAAGCAGGGAAGCAGGACTCCGAGCATATGCTTGTTCTCAATGAAGTCACCATCGACCGTGGCCTTTCTTCTTACCTCACGAACCTTGAATGCTCCTGCGACGACTCATTTGTCACATGTGTCCAAGGCGATGGCCTAATAATATCTACAACATCTGGTAGCACCGCCTATTCACTTGCAGCTGGCGGGTCAATGGTCCATCCACAGGTATAATATGATCTTCATCTCCATAACAAGCAATGTCGGTTCTAAACTTGATGTTTTTTGGCAGGTTCCTGGGATCTTGTTCACACCTATCTGTCCGCATTCTCTGTCTTTCCGCCCACTGATATTACCGGACCACGTGACATTGAAAGTGAAAGTGCCATTGGACAGCAGAAGCTCTGCGTGGGTGTCTTTTGATGGGAAAGGCCGGAAAGAGCTTAAAGCAGGGGATACACTTGTGTGTAGCATGTCGCAGTGGCCTGTCTCAACGGCTTGCCAAGTCGAATCCACGAGTGACTTCCTAAGCAGTATCCACGATGGTCTTCACTGGAACCTAAGAAAGACTCAAAACTCTGACGGCCCTCGTGAGACTTAATACAAGAATTTATCCAAGACGCTTTGCTTTTTAAACCTTATACATATCTATCTTGATGTATCCATTGTTTGTTGTAAAGGAAATGTATTATGTATCTGTTGTGAGCAATATTTCTGTTAATGTGATATGATCAATCAAAGTTAATGAATCAAAGATGATTTTATGTTCCCTCTTACTCTTTCTCTAAACTGCTTTAAATTGTCTTAATAATAACTGCTTCAACGCTAAATTTAAGATCCTGCCTACATAAACTCCTAGTGTGCAGAATCCAACTTGATTCAGCACATAGCTGTGTCGTGGTAGAGAATAACACAGCATTGCCTGCAACAAAAAAAACATTCAAATAAATGTCCTGGCATGCTGCATTGTTTTTGTAAGTTGCATACATAGAGATTAGTAGACTTACTTGGTCAATAATATGCATCGACATCATCATCATCATCACCATTTACGCTTTCATCGATTTCGTGATCGCCTACTGCTCTGCTTTTCTCTCGTACTGTTCTTCCTGAAGCTTTTGATGACTTTGCTTTCTCCGCCTGCAACTCCATGGCTTTCTCTGATGGTTTCCTTTTTCTCTTTCCTCTTGTTTCACCTATTTCTTCTACAATAGAGAGCAAAAATGCATTAGTAGAGAAAGCATCTAAATCTGTGGCATAACACATCACAGATTCATACTTCCATCAACAATATTAATCTACAGACCAGACATCTATTCAGAAAGACTTCACGCCTTTTATGAGTGAATTGAATTTATTCAGTATGTAGTGGAAGTCATAAACTGTCTTTTTCATAAGTAGTTCTTATAATCTTTCTTACCTCCTTGTGGACTTGATACATGGTTTGCCACATGTCCATTCTGAGCAGCCTCTTCGGAAGCAGGAGACGCAGATATACGAGCTTCAATTAACTTTAACTCCTCTTGCTCCTCATTTGTATCTGGGATTGGTTCAGCTGGAAGGTAGCGTAGTTCCTCCACTGACATATCTGAATCACTGAAAGCGTCCTTCTCCACTGTCTCTATGTCAACTTCTTCATCTTCATTAACACTTGATACTTTCGCCTACACACATACAACCACATATATTCAGGTAAACAGGTGACAAGAGTAATTAACAGAGAAGCCTTATGCATCTATCTATTCAATTTCTCACCTTTCCTGTTTCAGGCATCAAATCAAACTCATCTTCACGTTCCACATACTCTTCATTCTCCTCAAGCTCTTTGAAATCAGGAGCAAACGCACTCCAGTTCTCTGTGTAGTCTTTTGCCCAAATGTATACCAAACCAGTCAAGGAAACAGAGACGATTATCGGATGAACAGGATGCCAAGCAAGATCAATCAACGCCTCTTTTGGACCTTCTAATATCTTCACGAGATGCCCCGCTCGATCCCATATGTAGATCTTATGCTCTCCCTTGCAAGCAGAACCACCAACGACCCATTCACCATCACCACTGAAACACGGCGCCTTCCAATGCATTTTGGTAACCAAATCTTGAAACTCCCTAAACAGCGTCAAGCATTTCGATCCAACAGTCTTCAGTTTCTCAACACCATCAACCTCATCAACATCCTGACCCATGTCCTCAAGTGACCCAAGCACATTTTTCGCCGGGAGAAGATTCTCATAAATCCTAATGATACGGTCATGCGAATTCGTGAGAAGATACTGCCCATTCCTGCTAAATACAATATTCTTCACCGCAGACCCACCAGAGACACCAACCAAAGCAAGAACCCGAACACTTTTATAATCAACAATAAGTATCTCCCCTTTAGCATTCCCAACATAAACTAAATCCCCACACTTATTAAAACACGCCGCCGCCGGAGAGAAAGGAGGACCTGACTCCGCACATTTACTCCTCTGCGGAGTAGCCAACACATCAGGCATCTCAGGGACACACACAGGAAGCAAAGTCGTGCAACCAATCTCAAAATCAACAATCATAGGAGCAGAAGAGAGCGGGCACGCTAGGCAAAGAGAAGGCGAGCTTAACCCAGGGTTGAGACGAGCGTGTAAAGGAGTCTGCTGAAGAGTTGTCCTCGCAATCTTCTGTCCTAAAGAGACATCCCAGAGAGTCAAAGACTTGTCTGCAGCTGAGACGAGTAAACGGTGCCCATATTTTGACCATGAGACGCTTGTGATTGCAGCAGTGGAAGCATCATCACGAAGCTCTTTTGCAATGCCTCTAGTTTCGAAGTCCCAGATCACACATCTCCCATCCGCACATCCAGCTATTATCAACAATGTAAAGATTCATCAAAAATCCAAAACTAAGTAAAGTTTGATAGATAAGGGCTAAAAAAAGGAGACGACTTTACCAGCGAGGAGAGAGCCACGGTGGTTAAAAGCAACACACTTTATGACCCCATGCTCTAGATACTCTTCAATCACCTCTGGAAAGTCTCCTTGCAGTGGATCTACAGAGAGAGAGAAAGTGAATAAGTAATTTCGAGAAAGGAAACAGTAAGTGTGAAATCGAGCTCACCTATTATCGGAGCATTCATTATTCTCTTGTTTTTTTCTTTCTTCAACACTGGAGAGAGTCCCCACCCGAAATTAGGGTTTCTAGGACGCAACGATTACAGCAAATTAGGGTTTCTATGAATCTCTTTTACTTTGATTCCTCCGAAAGTGATTTGCTTTGAAGTTAACAAACTAAGTAATGCGAAAAGTGGATTGGTTGTTAGAGAGAAATCGAAGAAGCTTTTGGATTCGAATCGCGAGTGATGAACTCGAGAGAGAGAGCGATTAACGTTATTTTAAAAGTTTTGTATCCGGTTTAAAACTCGGGTGGGCTTTACCCGGCTATTTTTAAATAGTAATCCGAATAACACAAATATCGGGTCTAAACAGATCTGTATTTTAATTACTAGCTTAATTAATTATCTTATCTAACCACTTTTGCGGGAGCGCCTCCTGATTCATTCTCAACAAAAGATAAAACGTGCCACGTGGCGATAAACCATTAGCACAAAATATCATATTCGGATAAGGGAGTGGATAATTTCACCACAAACTTAAAAACATCTTTTAACACACACAATCCTACACCATCTCACAACGAGCGATCAAGCAATGGCATCGATGACCATGACAGCAACATTCCTCCCTACCATCGCTAAGCTTCCATCAGCCACCGGCGGAAGAAGGCTCACGGTGGTTAAAGCCTCGACGGGGGAGAACACAGCCAGCTTACAAGTCAAGAACAAGGAGGAGAAGAGCAGCACCACAATGAGGAGGGATCTTATGTTCACTGCTGCAGCTGCGGCCGTTTGTTCCTTGGCTAAGGCAGCCATGGCTGAGGAGGAGGAGCCTAAGCGGGGGACAGAGGCGGCTAAGAAGAAGTATGCTCAAGTTTGTGTCACTATGCCTACGGCTAAGATCTGCCGTTACTAATTCAACAAATCTACCTCTCATCTCTCTCTCTCTCTCTTCTATCTCTCTCTCAGTTATTGGTATGTAATCATATATTTGATCAAAGATCTTTCTTCTAGAATCATCGCTTTTCACCATTCAACAAAGCGTTACAAAAGCAATGCATAGTTAATTACAAAATACTGTTTTTGACAACTAGATTAAAGGAACCAAACTAAAAAGACCTGAGATGTCCATGACTAGCAGCTAACTAAGAGGTGAGATTACCTTCAATAACCTGCAAACGTAGACCAATACCTCTTTCTTCCCAAATAGCTCTATCAAAAACTTTCCCAGTCTCGTCCTTACTAATGCATTCACCAGCTTCCATTATCACTGTATACCCTCTTCATGTCATCTGACCAACACCCAACCCGTTTTTGTTTAACCGAGGAACAAAAAGCACACTCTTGATAACCTTCTTCACTCCCTTAGTTACAATCCTGACATCTCCTTTCCCTTCTGCCATGATAACTTTTCTCACCTGAATCAATTTGCTCGCGCAACTTTTCTCACCTGAGGCGGCTAAGAAGAAGTACGCTCAAGTTTGTGTCACTATGCCTACGGCTAAGATCTGTCGTTACTGATTCAACAAATCCACCTCGCATCTCTCTATCTATCTCTCTCATTTAAGTTTGGTATGTAATCAAATATATCTCTCATTTAAGTTTGTAATCATTTAAGTGAGATTACCTTCAATAACATGCAAACGCAGACCAATATCTCTTTCTTCCCAAACGGCTCTATCAAAAACTTCCCCACTCTCGTCCTTAATAATGCATTCACCAGCTACCATTGTAATTGTATACCCTCTTGATGTGTCATCTGACCAACACTCAACACGTTTCTGTTTAGCCTAGGCACTAAAACCACATTCTTGACAATCTTTCTCACTCCCTTCGTTACAATCCTGACATCTCCTTTCCCTTCTGCCATGATAACCTTTCCGTCCGCTAATCCAACCCTACCCTTGTATGTTCTGTCTAAACTCGTGAAAATCACCCACAAATCCTCATCAAATGTGAAACCACTTGGAGTCACCCCTAACATGAAATGTTCAGGGAGCTTCTGTAGCCGCTTGATTCCTTGTGCAGCAGTCTCTGGCATAGTGCCTTCTTTCTCCACATTGATGGCACTGGCCTCTGAATTGTCTTTCTCCTCCACTTACGTTCCTTGCCCCCACAGGGTTGTAATAACAGTCTTCTTGATTGTGATTGCACTTCTTTCTTAAGACTTAGATAGAAACCCTTCAACATGTGAGGCATAGCTTCTGGATGATCTCCAAACAAATCAAGAACATCAAGAAGGTCTTTAAGAGTCATATCCTTAAGATTCATGATCTCCTCCAACAATACAAACTGCATCATCATAAGACCATGAACAACGAACCTAACAGTTTCTTGATAAACCTCATCGTCGGATCTCACAGCACCTAAACGGCATGATCGTTCAAGAATATCATCAACTCTTTCCAAGTAAACATTCATTGGCTCTCCTTTATACATCCTAAGCTCTTCGAACTCGTTCTTTAACCTACGAAGCTTAGCTTCTTCGTTACCTATTTTGAGCAAGTCCCAAAGATCCTTCGACGAAGCAACGGAGAATGTGCTCGGTTTAACGCACTGACTCGGTTATGGGTCCGGTCTAACGCAATTAGAGAATGTAATTAAATTCCATCAAGTATTCGGCTCGGTTCCTTCGTATGGTAAAAAAATTCAATACATTTGTACAATTAGGTTCGATATCAGTCACTTGTATATAAAAGATTGCACAGTTTGGAACTTAGAGAAATCAATTTGGTCAAGTCTGATTTAATTTAAGGTTAGTTGATCCGGTTAAGTTAGTTGGTGATGAATGGTTTTGAAAATTACTCAGAACAAGATGACAACAATAATTGACTACGAACATTGCATCGTTAATTAGCTAATAGTACTTGGAAACAACATTAAGAGACCATACAAAATGAATTCTGCAAACCACATAAACAACACAAATATTTTTCTTCACCTTACGAGTCAGGTCTATAGTACACTGGGCAGTACACTAATGTTTGTCCCCTCTCTTACCACCCTCTCTACCTATGTAGCCAATCTCACCTGAATCAATTTGCTCGTGCAACTTAAGAGACTTGGCTTGTTGAAGCAGATACCACAGATCATTGGCTGAAATCGACTGTCTGTCTCTCTGAAAACCGATTCTGGTAGAGGAGATTGCAATAATGGGGGGGGGGGGGAATTAGTTTTTGTAAGGAGAAAGCGGTTAAGGTAATAAGAATGGCTTTTATGGTAAACTTGTAGATTTAGGTTGACATGGACATCTCAAATCCGTTCAGTTGTATCATCTCTACAATCAGTATACATTGGAACTTAAAGAAATCAATTTTGGTCAAGTCTTTGTTTAATTTAGGTTGGTTGATCCGTTTAACTAAACCTCTCCCGCAATAGAGTTGGTGATGGTCTTGAAAATTTAATCAAGACACGATGAATGCAACAAGACTTTTAAATACAACCATTGCATCGTCAATTACATAATACTTTTTTACAAGATTATTAATACCAAGCCGTCCTAGTAATTACACATTTACACCAGGCTAATACATTCTGCAGCAGCAGATTATGGATTAGCTTTTATTACACGAACAAACTGAAAACGTGACAAACACAAACAACATAAAATACTTTGCACATGCACCTTACGCCTTAGTACCAGATTTTACACAAAAGACCTAAGCGATAGTAGTAAGATTACCTTCAATCACTTGGAAACGCAGAAAGAATCCTCTCTCTTCCCACACGGCTTCCCCAAACACTCTCCTCTTCGGATCCTTAATCGTATACTTGAAAACCTCGTTTCCTTCCATTATCGCTGAATAACCTATCGACGTCAGCTGAGGAATACTCAACACGTTTCTGTTAATCTCCGGAACATAAAGAACGTTCTTGATCGTCTTCTTCTTCCCTTCCTCCGTCACTACCTTCACATCTCCCCTCCCTTCCCCCATGATGAATGTTCCGTTAGCCAGCCTCACACGAGCCCTGTGTGTTCTGTCAAAAGTGGTGAAAAACTTGAGATACGGAGTCATGTGATTCGTGGTAGATGTGTACATCATCCACATATCTTTATCATATTTGAAATCTCCAAATGTTATCGCTAAACATTCATGCTCAGCAACGACTCCTCCTCCTCCGAATTTATCTTTCGGTAACAAATCTTTTATCATTGAACAGATGGTGCTCCCTGGTAACGATTTAAAGTGATAAAGAAAGTCAAGAAAGTCGTTAAGACTCATCTTCCTCAGATTAATACGTTTCTTCATCAACGAAGCTACACAATCATACGACACCGAGAGAGATCCCAACACCTTAGTGATAACCTCGTAATCACCTTTCTCGTTTTGCAAATCACGAAACTGTTCGACGATAACCATAACTCTATCTAAATACGAATCCATCGTTTCTCCTTCGTTCATACTAAGCTCTTCGAATTTTTCCTCTAACCTACGAAGCTTAGCTTCATCGTTACCTTTTTTAAGCAGATCCCAAAGCTCCTTGGCCGAGGAAGCAGAGAGAGTGTTCTTGAAGGTGAGATCTGGGAGAGAGGATTGCATTATCTTGAGCGCTTTCATGTCTTTGATCGCGAGATCTCTCCATTTCGAAAGCTCTGGGGATTGAATCGTCGCGGATGATTCTGGAATCTTGGATGGATCTGGGGGTACTCCGTTCTCGACGACGTCCCACAGATCTACCTCCGTGAGCGTCGCCTTCATGATCGGAGCCCAGGCTTCGTAGTAGAGGTCGGAGGAGGAGACAGCGTCTCGTATCTTTTTCTTCGTCGCCGCCATTTGCGTTTGGATTTGTTTTTGTTTGGGAGACAGTGGATAAACTATTACTCTCACTCACACGAGCACTTTCCAGAACTCTCGAGTTAGTTAAAATATCTCTCAGGTGTTGACATTTCGGTTTATAGGATTGGTTTAATGCAATTAAAATATAAACCGGTCAACCGGTCAATTATTTCGGTTACACTTGCGTCGTATATCTGATTGGTTCGATTTTATATGGGTTGATCCGGGTAAGTCGAACTAAAGTGAACAAAAGTAATTTTTTAATACCAAACCATGGTTAAAAGAACAAAGTCTAAGTTGTATTAAGGGGTTTTCCTGTTATTCAAAATGAATTTTGAAACCTCTTTTTAAAATATTTTTTTTATTGAATTTGTATTTTAAACTCTATTTATTGGAACTATTTTGATAGCTTTTGGATAAAAAGATAAAATCTGAATCTTGTATTTTCAAATATTTTTTTTTGGCAGCTGGCTGTAGAACTATTAACGTCTGTAGTGTTTTGCATAATATGTAATAATATAATTATTCAGTGTAAAAGAAATTAATAAAAAATAAATTATGTAGAGTAGTGATTTGTGATTTAATAAAATTTATAAAAAATCATTATTCATCGAAATTGCCTTAAACTCAAAATGAAAATCAAATTATTCTTAATCATCTCAAATGATAATTCAATGACAGCTAGTAGAATCCAAATTGAAACGAACAAAACAGAAAATCACATACGTCCATGCACCTTACTAGTAAAGTCCTGCACCAAAGTGAAAAGCATGAAGCTAATTAATTAAGAGGGGAGATTACCTTTAATCACCTCCAAACGCAGAGCCATATCTTTCACATCCCACATAGTATCCCCATACACTGCTCCCGTCTCATCACTAATAATGCATTCACCACCTCTTCCCTCTCTAAACGAACAACCATATGTTTCCATCTGACTAAGACTCAACACGTTTCTCACCATCTCAGGAACATAAAGCACATTCTTGATTATCTTCTTCTTCTTCTTCCCTCCCTTCATCACAATCTTCACATCTCCTTTTCCTTCTGCCTTAAGAACCGTCCCATCCTTTAGCCCAACCTTCCCTTTATGTGTCCTGTCTAGAGCCGTGAAAACATTCTCATACGGAGTCATATGGATCGTTGAGAAGCCAGAGACCATCCACAAATCCTCATCATAAACCAAATCACTCTTACTTATCACCGCAGCCATCACATAATCCACAACGA